TTCAAAAACTAGATTTCTGCATTCTGTCACACACACAAATAGCTACATAAATGGATGTAAGTGCATTCATGTGTTGAATAAACAAAGATTACATGTTAATATTTTGTTAGTACCTTTATTTCATTGTGTTACATTTTACCCCAGGATATGTTACAACTAACCCAGACTATGGGGTTAATTGTAACATTTCACTCTTTGTGATTGAGGCCATACCATGCAATGGGTAATTGTGCTGCAGAGAAAATAGCCACACTATTTTATAGCAGAGACATGCAAATACTTTGCATTACATTTTGAATCCACTACCTTAAAAGAGCTCCAATTTACAGACAGAAATGTCAAAAATGTTACAACTATCCCCGCCCTACTTGTGGTTCCTATAGAATTTTAAGGTTGAACAGGAATCAGAGTCTTCATCTCTCAGGCCTCTCTTCTGTGGATGCAGCTTACATCATTCTGTACAATACGATAATTTTTAATTCTACAACTGTTTATAACCTGCATAGTTCACATTTCTGTATAGCTGTATATCTCATATTTCTGTATAGTTTTTTTTCATATTCTGTATAGTTTTTCATATTTATATCCTGTTCATAGCCTGTACATAGCTTGTACTCACTACAGCCTGTACATATTCATAACATACTTCATACCGTGTACACTGTAACATACCATAATAGACCCATTTCTGTAATATACTTACATACCTATACTATTGCTAATATATATTGTAATATATCTATATCATGGCTAAAGCACTTCTTGATGGATGCAAACTGCATTTTGTTGCCTTGTACCTGTGACATATGCAATGACAATAAAGTTGAATTCTATTCTATTCTATATTAATTCAGAAGACAAACACCCGTCTCTGCTTTTGAGATTAGCATTAAAACCCTCAGTTTTGACAAATAATACAGTTATAGTGGATCAGGTGACCCTGAATCTTCCCTTATTTGTGCTGCAATAAGCCTAGGCTCTTGCGGGCTTCCCATCATGTATGAATTTTTTCCTTCTTTGCTCGTTCTGTGTTTATACACCACCTATGGCTGTCTCTCCTTGAGCCTGTTTCTGCCAGATGTTTCTACCTCTTCAAATGGAGTTTTTCCTTCCCACTCACACTAAACGTTAGCTCATATGGGGTACTTAAATTGTTGGGGTTTTCTTCGTATTATTGTTGTGTTTTTACCCAGCTACATAAAGTGTCTTTAGGTGACTGTTGTTGTGCTGTATAAATAGAATAGAATTGAATAGAATAATGTACTTCAGACCGGGAGATTGGCAAAATGTATAAATAGGATGGCGATTAGGGGAATTGGAGACAGCTGTGTAACACAGCAGGGATACATTGGGAATAAGAGGACAGTGGAAGTAAGACTCAACACAAGAAAGAGACAAGAGGCCACCAAACTAAAACACAGACTAAGACACACGAGCTTGACACAGACAAAACCATAAACAGACATAAATCTCCATTGTAATTTATGTGCGCGCGTGCGACTGTTCGCGCGCGTGCACGGGTGCGCGGGTCTAGGCTTTCAATCGGGATATAAAGCGAAAAGGCGCTACCGCAAAGACTTGTGTAAAATCGCAAGGAAATTTAGGCGGCGGAGAAGAAGCGGCTGGCTTGACCGCGGCTCACAAATGACGGCTCACTTTACTGCGGTTATTTTTGCAGTCCGGCAGTTTCCAGTGTACTTTTTAAAATGAACGTATGAGCGGTGACATTTCCATCGCTGCCCCTGAAGATACCTCACTCCTGTCATGCAAGAGTCCATTCAGTTGGGAAATTTGGCAGTAAGTCGACTATCCCATTTAACACACCATCACAGGAGGAGTTAACCTGTAGCAAAGCGTGTCGTTAATCTTCTCTGTGCTCAGCCACGGGCTCCAAAGTGCTGCCTCACAGGTTGCTCTCAGCCAGTCTGGACGTTTCCTAAACTGAGCACAACTTCAAGTCAGGGATGAGAATATCTGTACTGTCCAAGAAGCTGTGGTGCGTCCACAAACAGCTAATCCTTGTGCTCACTCCGCTCGTGTTTCTGCCTTTACTTTTTACTCTACCGGAGAAGGTGAGTGAATTTCTTTGCGCCACAGTTATGCATCCACTGTTTTCCAAAAAACTTACACACAGAAAGCACGGTTGTCCTACTATAAATGCATAACACAGGTGCAAGCAGGAGATTTATGTTTAAAATCAGACTAGTTCGCAAAGGGTTTGGTCCATCTTTATACTTGTTTTGATTAATCAGAAACTTACAGACATGCTTATATAAACTGAGATTTTTTAAGTAATAAATTTAGTCAATAATGCTAAAAATACTCATCTTCTACTGTCACTACAACCTCAATGCTTTTTACTCTTGGTTAAGCACAATAAAACTTTTGCTGGGAGTATTTTCACTGTGCATACTCCGTGAATCATCTGATTCAGCCAAAGAGTCAATAATGCAAACCTAAAAGTAAAAAGTGATTATTAATGATAATGCTTTCATGTTAACGATGTAAAAATTAATGTTGTCTCTCTGAAACACATATAATGTGAAGGATACACAAGTTACTGAAAACATAACGTGTAATCTGCTTTCTTTTTTCTTGTTAAGTCTTTGCTTTGTTTTTTAGCTGTTTCTTTGTATTATTGCACAAATATTATTGACATGTTACTGATCTTTTTAGGAGGGAAAATGTCTTTACGTGGTGGTGCTCATGGCTATGTTTTGGTGCACGGAGGCTCTCCCTCTTGCTGTCACAGCCATGCTTCCAGTCTGCCTCTTCCCAACACTGGGAATTCTTCCAGCCAAAAAAATCTGCCCTCAGTACTTCATCGAGACCAATTTTCTCTTCCTCAGCGGCCTTGTGTTGGCATCATCGATTGAGGAGTGGGGCCTGCATCGCAGAATAGCCCTAAAGGTCCTCAGTATTGTTGGAGTAAAACCAGCCTGGTGAGAAAATAACTTTATCAGAAGGCAGTTTAAAGCTGATGAGGATTCTGTATTTATCCCATTTTAAGTAATACCTGGAACTTATTTTATTTCCCTGTGTTGTGAACCTCTGTGCTGTCCAGAAATACCTAAGTCACCCTACATGTCCTTTTCACGTCTGTTTAAATAACATTGTCACAAAATATGGTAGCTAGTTAATTCAGAAAATTCTGCAACAGGGAGGGATATAATAATAAAACATAAATGTCTGAATCTTTTGCACAGAACTACATTTAATTATTTTTATTTTTATTTTCATACTTAGGGTTGTTTACCGAGTTTAAGATTGTGGACTGAATTGTTTTTCCAGGCTCATTCTGGGAATGATGCTGACCTCATCCTTCCTGTCCATGTGGCTCAGTAACACCGCCACAACAGCCATGATGCTCCCTATCGCAAATGCCATCCTGGAGAGCCTGTTTGGTGATCTGGAAACCCTAAAACAAAAGTGCAAGTCTGTCGAGGATCACGAGAGTGCCATAATAAATGGTACGCTGTCAGTTTTCAAACTTATACTGATGACAAATCAAGGTTTTCTCTGAAATTGACATCTTAATATACTGAATGAAAGTGATTATCCTTTGAGTGAGAGAAAACGTTTGGCCAATTTTAAATCTTTTTTTGGCTGAACCAAAACATTGTTTAATTCAGTCTTATTGTCTTCATAGTCATTCAAGCAGCAAAGGGCATTGCTGTGACAGGGGCGAATGAACATTAAACACTTCATCTTCAAATTAACAGTGAAGACAGGTTGAACGTTTATCATCCAACTGTGTCTCTTCACAAAATGTTTCATTCTTGAAAGATGATTGTTGCATTGTTTTAACCTTGTTCCCAAGAGCCTTTAATATATAATCTAATATGTGAACTTTGTGCAGCGTTTCCAATGCACTGTCTGACAACAAGTTAGTCAATCCTGAAGTAGTAATGGATTAAGGGGGCTTTGTTGACTCAAAGTCAGCTATTAAATAAAACAAAAGTACACCACTGTAAAAGAGCTGAAACTCACAATTTAACTCATGTTTGGACACTTTGAAGATTGAGTAAGTTAGTTTCATGTGTAACCCTGAACCCTGTCAAAATCTATTTGATTTATTTTCTTGCAGGTCAGTCTAGTGTAAAGCTGCATTCACTGCCCTCAGTGCCAACAGAAAAACAAATAATGGCAACAGAAGGGTAAGAAGCATTTGTGTTTTGTTTTATATTTTTATTTTAAAGACATTTCACTCCTCTGATGTCTTTGCTAAATCATTGCACAAACAATAGATGTTGAGCTTTGCTTAGCTTATGTCATGGTTGGCTGTGTGGCAGGCAAGCAAGCAGGAGTGGTGGACCCAAAATGCAGAACTCAGACACTGAAGTGAAACTTAAAGCACAGCTTTATTGCTGAAAATTGAAAAACCTCGTACTAACTAAGCTCACCAAAAGACAAACAAAAGTCTGAACAGAGGAACTGAGGACTGAAACACTGGAAAAGAAATACTAAACTGGAGCAGGAGACTCCATAAAACAGAAAGAAACAGACAGACTTGACACTGAATGAGAGACAACCTAAGAACTAATCGCTCAAAGAATAACTGAAACTTAGAATAATACTAATAAACAAAGCATGACAAAAGGATCAGAATACAAACCATAATACAAAGGAATATAAGAACTGAAAATGCTGGGTCAAAATGACCCAGGACTGTGACAGTACCCCCCCCAAAGGGTCTGGCTTCTGACAGCCCTAAACAAAAAAAACGAAACAAGAGCGAGAAAACAAGAGAGAAACAAATCACAAGGAGCCCAAGAACAGGAATTACTCAAAACAAATCCCACTGGGTCTACCATGAGTCCACTAATCAAAAGGTTCAGGAAGCCGACAGCACAAAAGTCAAACAAAGGGTACTCAGGGGGACGGCCCCGCGGAAGGTAAATGGCCTGTATTTATATAGCGCATTACTAGTCCCTAAGGACCCCAAAGCGCTTTACATATCCAGTCATCCACCCATTCACATTTACACACTGGTGATGGCAAGCTACATTGTAGCCACAGCCACCCTGGGGTGCACTGACAGAGGCGACAGGTAGCGGAAGGCAGCGGCGACGACAGAGCTGGTCCGGAGGCCGCCCACGATGGCGACGACGCCCAGCCAGTGGCCTGGAAGGCGGCCGGCGATGTTGAGGGGCTGGACGTACATTGGACCGGTCGAAGCTGAAGGCTCTGAGGCAGGACCGGGCGAAGCTGAAGGCTCTGAGGCAGGACCAGACGAGAATGGCACTGCAGGCGGTGGCGTGGAAGCCGGAGACGAAGGCGCTGCAGGCAGCGGCGCAACAGGCTGGACGGATCCCTTGGACCCTCCAGCGACGACAGGAGGCTGAATGGGCCCCTCGGACCCTTTAGCAGAGGGTGACAGCTGGGCAGGCTCTCCAGAAGCCCCAGCGTATGAGGTAGATGCAGGACCAGAGGTCATTGAGACCAATGGTTGACCAGGTGGGTGAGAGTACAGCAGGCTAGGGGACTGAACTGAAGTCTGAACTGGTGGCCGTTGAAACGGTTGTGGTGAGAGTGGAGTAGGTGATGGAGTAGATGACTGCACTGGCGGCCAGGCGGGTAACTGGGCCACAGGCAACGGGGACACTGGAAACTGAGCCGAAGGTGGCGACTGAGCAGCTAACTGAGCAGAAGGTGGCTGCTGGGCAGGTAACTGAGCTGAGAGCAAGAGAGCAGATGACACTGGTTACTGAGCTGCAGGCAGCAGTAATGATTGTGATGGAGGTTTAGCAGGTCGGGCGGCTAGCTGAGCTACAGGGGCTTGAGCTAGTGACTGAGCTATGGACTGGAAAGATGACCGAATTGACGGCAGGGTTAAAGACTGAGAATACCAAGCAGCGAGGGTTTCTAAGAGGGTGGCTGAGTCTACTTTGCCGGGGCCACCAATGCCAAATAATCCAAAACAGAGCCTCGCTCTTAGTTCTGTTATGATTCAAGACAGCTCACTGATGTCTGGAAAACTCGGGGGGGAAACTTGTAGTTGACAGGAAATCATCAAAAAACACTACCTGAATCAGTCTCTTGGGAGTGTCCACAGCATGAATTACGGCCTGGCAATAATCCAACAGCTGCTCTAGCAACTCCTCCTCCCAGCCTAAAGGTGAGTCCACTGGGTCCATTTTGTGGTCGCGTCGTTCTGTCATGGTTGGCTGTGTGGTAGGCGAGCAAGCAGGAGTGGTGGACCCAAAATGCAGAACTCAGACACGAAAGTGAAACTTAAAGCGCAGCTTTATTGCTGGGAAAAACCTCGTACTAACTAAACTCACCAAAAGACAAAAGTCTGAACAAAGGAACCAAGGACTGAAACACTGGAAAAGAAATACTAAGCTGGAGCTGGAGCTGGAGCTGGAGCAGGAGACGAAACACTAGAAACACTAGAAACAGATCACACAGCCAGTTGAGGGTACAACACGATAGGGAACACAGGAAAACACAGGGCTTATATACACAGGGGAGTAATCAGGGAATGGAATACAGGAGGGAGACACAGCTGGGAGGGTTTGGGGTAACGAGACACGAGGAGCAAAGCTAGACACACTGAGATGAGGATCAACCTTTCACAATAAAATGGAAAACAAGAAACAGACACAGACTTGACACTGAACTGAACTTATACTGAACGAGAGACTCAACCTAAGAACTAATCGCTCACAAAGAATAACTGAAACATAGAATAATACTAATAAACAAAGCATGACAAAAGGATCAGAATACAAACCATAATACAAAGGAATATAAGAACTGAAAATGCTGGGTCAAAATGACCCAGGACTGTGACAGCTTACTGCGAAGACTGGAAATGAGGTAGATGTAGTTCTAATGGCAACAAAATCCAAGAAACTATCCAGGTGCTAGTGCTATGAATATAGGGCAAGTTTAAAATACCCAGGATATATTTTCCTCTCTAGCATCATTTACCCTGATATCACGTTAGATGAGAGAGTGGTGTGATGTTCACGTTTTTGTGGTGTTATATGACAGAAGTGGCATATACACAGCCAGACAGAAGACATGTGGACAGGTCTACTTACAGCAGAACTGCAAAGACAAACTATAATATTAGAAAAGCTCTGTACAGTAGTGTAGTATTAAAAAGTGTTGCATGAATATGACGGTGCTGTGGAATGCAAAACTGAAAAAGTGTCATATAAATGCAGACCTTGCAAGTCAACAGACTTATAAGTAACATAATTCTGTCATTAAAATATGAGGACCTGACTGTAACTATAAATATGTTCTGTTAAATTAGCAGGCGATGCTGTTTCATGTGCATCTAAGAGTTTTTGCCTTCGTTTTTCATCTTCAGCCCAGGCAGTGTTAACTGACCCGTAATGAACAGATGAAAACCCAAAAACAGATTTCAGATTGATAAATTTTCTTGGCCTTATGCTTAGGTGCCCTGTTTCAGTGTTGTAGTACTATAGTTTAGGTTTACAGAACAATACGGTTGCTTTAAATTGCTTATAGCAAACAGGTAAAAAGGAGGAATAAAGCTGTTTTTAAAGGCCTGTCTTGACTGAGGCTCATCATAGAAAGAAAAGAACTTTAGATGTTCTAGTCCTAGAACATGCTGTTACCGAAGCACTGAAGCCTGTGCATTTTTCAGGAATGGAGGCAGTGATTTTGTACATGATGATCTCTGATTGTGAACATGACCTGCTTTCAATCAGGCTTTCACAACAAGGTTAACCCTTAAGTAACCCTTCTAAGCCCCAAATCCTGCTTCATAGTGCAGGCATCATTCCCTTTGTCTGTGTTAAATTTATGTTTTAATTACTGAGCTTTACATTTTACAGACTGTGAAATACAAAACTAAGCTAACACATATGAAGTTTGCGGATTCATTTTGCCATACAAACTAAAGAGTAATATCCAGCTGTGCAAACTCTAAAGTTTGTGTAATAATTCACATTTTATGTAAAATAATGCTTCTGAAAGGACTGATACACCAGAACTGACGGACCCGAGGACAGCTGAGGAGAGCCGAGCAGAGGCGCAGTATCAGCTCAAAGTCTGGAAGGGGTTTTTGATTTGTATCCCTTATGCTGCCAGTATCGGAGGAACCGCCACACTGACGGGCACGGCACCTAACCTCATTCTGATTGGACAGCTGAAAAGGTAACTCTTTTGTTTTTGTGTAGCATTTAAACAATGCTGATTCAGACACAGAAGTGATATGTTTCAGTGTGTTTAACAGTTATAATTTTGTCTTTCACAGCTACTTTCCAGACTGTGATCTTATCAATTTTGGCTCTTGGTTTGCATTTGCTTTCCCACTCATGCTCCTCTTCCTGTTTTTGGGATGGCTATGGATTGCATTTCTCTACGGAGGATTGAATACAAGGTTGTGTATCTTTTCTTGCTAAATTTTTCAATAACACCATCAGCATTACAGGATACAAAAACCGGACCATTCCATGAGTAAGGTCTTTATTTTATGAGAGCCAATGTTTACATTATGTGTTCAATTTTTTGCAGATTGTGCATCACAAAACAAGACAGGAGAACCCAGGCAGAAGCCAGAGCCAAGGCACTGATAAAGGAAGATTACAGAAAACTAGGGCCCATAAAGTGAGGACTCGTGTATGTCTTGAAATCTCATGCAATAGATGCTGGATGTAAACTTTCTAGGACATAGTCTTTGACTTACTCTTATTCTGCATTCATGCTTTCAGCTTTGCAGAGGGAGCCATCTCTTTCTTTTTTGTACTGTTTGCCGTTCTCCTCTTCACAAGGGATCCAAAGTTTGTGACCGGCTGGTCTGTGTTTTTTAAAAAAGGGTAAGAGAAGCTGACTTTTAAAACCTTGTATGAAAGCTAACACATTGTATTCTGGTTCTGTGCTCTATTAGGTGTCCATTTCTATTTTGTGCTCGTCTTGCTGTCCTTCAGGTACGTTTCAGATGCAGTCACCGGTGTCATCATTGTGTCTATACTGTTCTTTTTTCCTTCACAAAAGCCTTCCCTGAGATGGTGGTCCGACCCTCAAGGTTAGTGATAGCATATCTGCTAAAATGCCATTTATGAGGCATCATTGTCTCATTTCAGTTCTATTTGTTACCATATATAGGATTTTCTGTCACAATATTACAACTTTGATAAGTCAAAAGTTAATATCTAAGACCAGATATTTGTGGAAAATTCAAAGATTCTGTGTCTCTGTTTCTAGAACAGCTTTTGCAAAACACAGAAATTAAGCTGAGGAATGTTAATAATATAGATTAGAGAGTCTGAGGAAAGTTCCCGTCTGAAAGTGAGACTGTAGTTTCTCTGTTTCTGTGATTAGAATAATCTCTTAAAGCTATGTGGACACACTTTGGGTTTTTTTCTTTGTGTGTTTGTGTACTTGTATTTTGGATTACTCGTGTTGTAGCTACATGCCTGAAACATCCATTTAATAATCAAATTCTGGTGAATCTTTTTGTCTTGGTGGACAAAAAAAATGTCTTATGGAAATCATTTTATTGATTTGGTTAACTCCAAAATGTGAATACAAATGCGAATCAGCATCCACTAAAATGGAGAAGCGTGTGTGTGTGAGTGAGTGAGTGCTTATGTTATGTTCAGCTGGTCAAATAAACAACTTGATGCTGGAAAAGAAAGCAAGCCATGTGGTTCATCTGTCACTGAGGGTCACATTATTCGAATAGAGTGGGTTCACTCTATGTCAAACAGAGTTGGACTTTTAGCTCATTAAACTAAAAATAGAGCAAATAAATACAAAAATATGGTAAAACTACAAAAGAATATTTGGTAGAAAGCACTAAAATGTGTATGTTAACATGCCAAATATATTATATGGTAGACTATATGGTTTGCTGCTAAGCAGTTTGGTAGTAGTTTGATTTTCAACTCATCCATATGTTAACGTGTTCTTCACCACAACCCTAAACCCAGAGATACTTCCTCCGCCTCTTTAAGATTCAAGATTTTTATTTGCCATTTGAGCACAGGACCAACAGTCCATGCACACTGGAATTCTTGTGCAGAGCTCTCCGGGTCAAGTCAAACTTTTTACAAGATAAAGACAAAGCAACTAAAAAAGGAAAATAGAAATAAAGTAAGGAATGAAGATGTTATACTGAGGCAGAATCTTTTACTACTCATTATAAGGTTAACAGTTAAGTTTAAGGATTTTAATCTCACATTGTATCAGTGCACAACAGCCTTTACATTTTTCTACACATGATAAACATTTTCTAATTGTTTTATCTCACATTTTTCCTCAGCTCTAAACACTCCTTATGTGCCTCTCCTTTCCTGGAAAAAAGCCCAGGAATCGGTTCCTTGGAATATCATTATGCTGCTTGGAGGCGGCTTTGCCATGGCCAAAGCTTGTGAGGTAAAGATGTTACATATAATATGTATGTAATACATATAATACATGAACAATGTTTCCTGTCTCTGTGCTAAGTTAAAACTGCTATGTGGTGCCTATGGTGTCATCCAACGTTTTAGCAAATATTTTGGGAACCATTTCCCCCAAAATACCAAAGGAAGCTGTTATTTTCAGTTTGCTTACTAATGTTTCTTTAAACCTCTATAGTTTAGAGTGGAAATGGAGGAAATTAAAGTCTACTAAGTCTGTTTATTAAAACGTGTCTCTGCTCTCCTTCGGTTGTCAGTGCTTTGTTTGATTCAAGTTCTCTGTTTTGGTTTCTTATGTTGTTATTTGATCTTCAACCTTTCACCTCTGTCACGTGGCATTCTGCAGGAGTCTGGACTCGCGTCCTGGATGGGAGGCCACCTCCAGCCTTTGGCTCAAGTCCCTCCTGCTGCAGCTGTGATGTTGATCACTGCTTTCCTGGCTTGTTTCACTGAGTTTGCCAGTAACACTGCCACCATTATCATATTTTTACCTGTCATTGCTGAACTGGTAAGGCTGGTCTTCAATCTAAATATATACAATTTTGCATACAGTTTTAGACTGTATGCGAAATTAAAGTGAAAGTATATCATCAGATTATTTTTTTTTATTCCTGTGTTATATTTTAGCTGAGAAAAATATCTTCACATATCAGTTTACCTGTGTGAGGTACAAACTCATTGCACCATGTCAGTGCAATGAAACTGACACAGATGACCATCAGGGAAACAAACTGGACGACTGTCTTACAAGATAAAGAAGTCAAAGTGAAGGGTGAACACGTTTTGCTGTCGACCTTGTCCTTTATGTCACTCAGAGGTTTAGTGGTCTTGTTAAACTTTTGCAATAGATGTTCTTATGTTTGTAGACTGTTGGACATTAACTGTTGTTAGACAATTATTATCTGGAGCTTAAGTACTCCAAGACAATGGCTACATAGGAAGAATAACCACTTAATAGCATGTAATTGTATAGGCTAGGTTTAAACTTTAGGATACTAAGCTGTTATTACAAACACAAACAGGCACAACACACATTTTGCTTTTACTGTATTTGAAGTTGTACACGCGCTAAAATAATAATTTAGTTTATCTTCTGGAGCTAACAAGTGAATGGCATTTCCTATATTTTTATTTTTCTTCCATTCTGCAGTACCTTCATTAGTGGTGTTATTATTTGTTATTTAACTGGTTACTGAATTCCCATCCTTGAGCTGAGTATTTTGGCCATCATCATCTTGCTTTGAAACTGGAAGTTACAAACAATGGGTGGCACTGACAATAAGACTTAAAACTAGTGATTAAGACCACAAACCCATCAACAAAGTGTTAAAATAGTTTATAGATCGAGGGAGACAAACATCCATTTTCACACAGATCCCAATACAATTGTTTTGTAACTAGCAAAGTTGCCTCCATCTTGATATACAGTCTATAATTATATAGAGTGAACATGTGATCACGTTAACACTAGCATTTAATAAAAAAAATAAAAAGTAACTATTCTGTACATAGTTAGTTCATATCAGTACTGTAACATGATTTTTCAGAAATGTAGTCAGTGATGATTAAGGCTTTAGGATTTAAACAATCTGTAGGCTAGGGTCCTAAAGCACACAATAAAAGAATTGACTGATTGACCGTTATTGCATTTACAGCCCATATTCGTTTCTTAATTAGTTTCTTAATTTTTTTAAATTAATTTTGTATATTATATGTTAATTGGACTCCAGAGAGCCATGCAAACCCAACTCCTGTATTATCTCTTTTTGCAATGTATTGCTCCAAAATGAAGTATATAAAACTTTTATGCTTCTGTATTTTGCTGCCTTTGCCAAATGATAATGAATGTTCTTTTCACCTTTGTCCCCTTACTGTACTTTAAATTTAAGATTCTGGATTTTCACTCTGAATAAGCATAATGGGCCTTTTTATACATCCTGTCATAAACATCTTTTCCCTCCACAGGCTATTAATGTCTCAGTGAACCCTCTGTACTTCATGATACCTGCCACAGTAGGATGTTCATACGCCTTCATGCTGCCAGTGTCCACACCACCCAACTCAATTGCCTTTGCATCTGGACACCTTATGGTGAAAGACATGGTAAGATCCTCATTGGCTCTTGACGTTGAAAATATTACACAAAATTACAGCTTATGTTTTCCATTTCTGGTTCCTCAGGTGAAAACTGGCTTTGTGATGAACATCCTGGGTATCCTGTCAGTCACTCTGGCAATGAATACGTGGGGCATTGCCATGTTTAATTTGAATACTTACCCTGAATGGGCTCTCCCATTTAACAAGTCTGCTCTTGTGACCAATGCGCACTTATCTGTGGCTCAGTCGCTTAATGCCACGTTGTGATCACACACCAGATTTTAGCAAGAAGTTATTATAGAAGAAGTACCAGAAGAGTGAGCAGGGAGGAAAAACTGAAGTAGATACAGTTGTGATCAGAGGTTTACATGCACTCATCGTGGGCATGTGTGTCTCTGTAATTTAGGGCCTTTAATGATTTCTTTGAATTCGAGATTTTAATGGGTGGGATGATTACACAGCATACATGTTTCATTGGAATATTTGGGATTTTTGGTCATTAGACATCTACCAATGACAGTGAAGAATACTGTTGATTGACATAAATAAAGTAGTGGGTCACCTAGGCAACCAAGACCTGAAATGTCCACAAGTGACTAGGTGGCAACTTTAAAGCAATATATGCCGTGAAAATTGACCCTTCCAACTGTACATATATTTCACATACATCACATTGGGAAGACAGGGAGAAAAAAGAACTCCACCCAGACTGAGCTCCTACAGGCAGTTTGAGAACAGAAAAAACACAGCAACACCGAGAGCACATGAACACACCATACAACATAAAGGACGGGCATCGGAGGCATTTGGAGGGGAGGAGGGTGATTGTACATCTGTCTGTCTATACATTTGAGCCTGTACATATACTTTTGACTTGTGGTTTAGAGCAAATCCAAAGTAAATTCAAACTTAAGATGAGCTAACCTTTATTAGTCCCTTGTGCACCTAATTCTTTTTTTTAAGTCATAAAAGACACTGTAAAAGTCATTCCACCCTTTAAAAAGTCTAGTTCAAAGAAATCATTAAAAGCTCAAAATTACCATGACATTCATGCCTGTGATGAGTGTATACAGTATAAATTCTTCACTACAATTGTTTCTGTACTGTCACAGTCAGAAAACACATTTTTCCAGCTGTTAACGATGCTTTGAAAAGGTTATCATATATATATTTGACTGCCTTTTTAGGGTCTCAAAGGTCTAGATTTTAAGCTGTGAACAGATTTGGTACAAAAATGTTAAGTTTTAAAGACAATGAAGCAATACATGAACTCAGTTGATGAGAGTTGATGTATTGCTAAGTTTAAAAACTGCTGAAGTATTTTACTCTCTGCTTTCTTAAAACTGAATTAGAGCAACATCTAACCTCAAACACATGCTTTGAGCACTGAAGAGTGTTTTATATTTTTTAAATAATCAGTCAGACTGCGGAGTGTGCTGTTTGTATCATGACTACAGGCTGACCTCTGCTGGAAGAAGGAATGAGACTGTGAATAACACTTTTTAAAGTATATATTATGGTTAAAATCACTAAAAGATTGTTACTTGTTTATGTTTCACATGGCACACTGCTAAAGCCATACCACATAAACAACATTTTAAATCATTTTCTTTATTATATTATGAATCTTGACTAATGAATGTGTAACTTTTGTTACATGGTGATCTGCACTCATATATTGTGCTGTCATAAATAAAGCCAGTTTGTAACTTGATGTTGTTTATGTATTTGTTATGCACAGTTTTGTTTTGTTTTAAGTGAGTTCCCCTGTTTGTATCAGGAAAGTTTTTTAAACTCTTGCTGGAACATTGCGGCCCCTGCACACACACATAGACACACAGCACAAAGCACAAAATTCCTTATAATGTTCTCTTGGTGTTCTCACATGCCCCAACAATTGTTAACTTGTGCAGTAATGTGCTGGTTATTCAGTGTAAGCGTTGCCACAGCAAAAGGTCTGTAGTGTTTAAATGTGAAATCAGAAAAGTTATCCAAAGCTAACAGACTGTAACCAAATGTACTAATTTGTACAACAAATACAAAGGTTACAGGCAAATAACCTTTGACCCAAAGCAGATTCATAACTGTGACTTGATGCTTTTATTTATTTTGTGTGTTTGTTATTCATAAAATTTGAAACAAAAACCAATTAGTATTTAAGACTCAAAATAAATAGGCCTACCTTTTTACCACAATAAGTAATTAAGTATTTTGTGTATCTTCTCTAACAACTCACACTGTGTGCACAGCCGACAGGTTAGCTTACTTGAATAAGTTAAAGTAGGCTTTGAGGAAGGCTTTTAGGAGCCATGGGTACAGCTTTCATTACAAACAGATATGCCAGCACCGAGTATCCATCATAGTCCTGAGTCCTGACTCAGTTTTGACTTCTTATGATCTTTTTAAACTTTTATTGTTTTTAGGGTGTCTGTCTGCCTTTGGGTTTATTGATTAGAATTGAATTCATTTGTGTTAGTTTATTCCTGCCTACTCAATTGTTTTCTGCCGATTACCCCTGTGTATCTTTCAGTATAAATAGCGTCAGGTGTCCTTTATTGTGGTGTCTCATGGATTTGTTATTCTTCTTTGGATTTTTGGATTTTAGGTCCCTTTGCCCATTTAAATATGACAGCCCCTTAAACCTGAATTCTTTCTGATGTTCACCTGACTCACTTGGTTCCAACAGAAGTCTAAGGAAAAATAGCTTCGATCTCCTTCGAATGTTTGACCTCATTAAATTATTTCTGTACGTGTTTGTGGTCTCAACACTAGTTTAAACTCTTATTGACTATAACAGAGTGAACATCACAGTTCCTATTAGAGTCCAAAAGGGAACTAAAACAGGGTGTGCTTTCCTGGAGCTGGTGTAACAAAAGTAAGCCAGGATGTCCAAGCTGTTATGTAACAAATTAACAATCCCAAGACACAGTGCCAATAAACTTCCTACGTATTCAAGACCTGTGTGAAAATTATAATCCATTTGGTAGGTAAATAAACAAGGCTTTCGGATTGAAGATGTAACATTAGCTTGTCTGCAGTTTTAGGGTCCTCCCAGGAACCTTGTGATTTTTTTTGGCATTGCTTCCACCAAACCGAGTAACTAAGGACACAGTGGAGAAAACGTAAAACACAAGGTGGTTACTGAATGTCAGCTTTTATTTGTTTAAACTTGAAGCAATTCTGATGTTTTCTGATGTTCAATTTGACAGAAAAGAGAAAACAAACCCACCTTCAAGGATTTCTTGCCTCCATTCAAGAGCTAAAAAAAAAACACGTTGTTGCTAGATATAATTGCCTAATATAGCTTATTCTCAATTATATTCTTAATTCTTAGCACCCAAGCTCAGTTGACACAAGACAGAAAGTAAATTTCAGTGGGGAACGTAACAATGGCAAACCAGAGGAAAGATGACACACAAAAGTGTTATGTCATCTAAACTATTTTCAGTTTAGAAGAGGAGTTATAAGCAAAGTGCTCTGTTACTTGTATTGTCAGTGTCACCATCATCAAATCATTCTGAAAGCACACTTTGGTTAGTGTGACCTGCCACATAGGGCTTATGAGTGTGTCATGCTCTCCATATGATTTTGTGTCATGTGTGGTTTAGATGCAGAGGGACTATCTTTTTTATTTTCCCACGTGGAACTTGTAGGCAACCAACATGACAGTGACTGTTGCGCAAAGTTCCCCTTTTTAGCCTTTACAGTCCACCAACACTTCCTGTTTATTTTCTCAGGCTCCTAATTTCTTAGAGAGGATGAAGATGATCACAGAAAATTTTGTTTTGCTTGTCAGGTAGGAGTTGATCTATTTTTTTGTTATTTAAATTATTTATAATTAACTGTTATTATTATTATTATTATTATTATTATTATTATTATTAAAAAACTTTTGTTTTCCACTGTGTCTTTTACAAACCCAGGCATTGAAAATGCATTATTTGTAAAATAACACGATAGGGAGAAAATAGTTGCATGGTTTTTTGTAACGTGCAGACGGAAGAAAAAATAATGTTTTAGTTTAGCATATGTTTCAATACTTTAGCCTTATAGATGTTGTTGTTTCTCCTCTGATCTTGAGTTTCTATAGATTGAGCATAACGTGTTGCTTTTTTAGATGTTTTAGCCTACTTTCCTTTGTCAGACAAGTTCTACTTTAGTGATTTCTTGATTCAACTGGACTAACAATTCAGGGCTGGTGGGAGGAATTAAGCTTTCCAAAAGAGTTAATTTGTGATTTAGGGGGAAATTACTTTTTTTTTACATAGAGCCAGGTTTGAATAGCCTTTTTTCCTTTAATAAATGAAATTATCATTTAAACCTGTATTTTGTATTTGTTTGTGTTGTTTTTATCCAATATTCAGATTTGTTAGACGATCTGAAACATGAGACAAGTATGCAAAAAAAAAAAAAAAAAAATAGAAAGGGACAAATACTTCTGTACTGTTTAGTGTTAATAAGAAATGCTTAGAGCCACTTCTCTGTTGAATCTTTAAATATTCTAAATATAAAGTGTTGTATTGTTTTCTCCTCAGAAAGAGAGCAGGATCTTGCAGACAGGCCTTAACGTCTCTGCTGTCATACCTCTGGGAAGTTTACTCGGCACCTTCTCCTGCAGGCAGGGACATCCTCACTCTGCTGTCTCTCTGTTTCACACTTGCCTGTGTTACTGGTGGCTTGCTTCACCACTGGCTGTCAAAGAGTCTGAGATATGATTACGAAGCGTCGGTTCAAACTGTCAGTATCTACAGCGTGAGCATGTTTCTGGTCTCCTTCCTGTGTCATCCCCTGCGCTGTGTGCTAACAATGATTCTTCCTACAGTCTGCACCAAACAAGGACGGAAACTCCTCATCACGGCCTCTGTCATGATTTTGGTGCTGAATGTCATCCCTAATATCACAGTAAATGTGGGAGCAGTGGCACGCATCCTGAAATGCACTGCTGAGGGTTTTGCAAAGACTTTATTAAACTCATCTGAACCTTTGAACAAAGCCAAGACAGACCTTGTTGAAGAAGCCATCAAAGTAAAGTGGGAGGACTTGAGCATTGTTACCAACTTAAGGACTTTGGATCATTACACACATATTGATGTGTCAGATGTCAAAAGCATGTTTACTAAGATAATTGGGAAGATAGAGGTCAACTTCTCACATGCCAGGAACCTCCTCAGAGAATACAAACTGCTGTCAAACCGGATTCTTGCTGCAGTCTTTGTTGCACTGCTGATCGCTGAATCTGCACGCTACTTGAAATCTTATCTGACATCAGTTCATTTTGATAATGGGTACATCTCCAAAGAGCTCTTGCAAAAAATGCCAGTTAATGAAAGGCCAGCTAAAAATAAAATCAATCTTGAAAACTGTAAAGTAATAAGTCAGGAATGTTCCTCTTGTTTCCTATCACTGATTGTGGTAACTTTATATTTCATTGCAATAACCCTAATAGTAGTTTTGGATCATGTTGTGTACTATATAGTTCAGATGATTGTGCCATGGTTGCTGGATTTTCCACCTACATCTGCTGTTATAAGTGTCAATTATAAGGTAAGACAGCACTCGCTCAATTTAATCTTTTTATTTTCTTTTTGGCTTTTTGGAGTCTTTTATAAATTTGTTTTTCCTTTTAGGTTCAGTGGTTCCCCCCTGCGTTTTGTATTATCCCACAATCCTGCATCAAACGGGAGCTGGTAAACTTCCACAGGGATTACAAGTGGAATTTCAGCCCTGGGCCATCTCTCTGTGATGTGACAACTTCAGCTCCAAACCTGGGAGTCACACTCCTGCTGGGATGTCTCTGGCTGATGAGCTACTTTCTGGTTTTCCTCGAGGTTTACGCAAGGCGGATACGCAGAAAAATCTCTGCATCCTTCTTCAGAAAGCAGGAGGAGAAGAGAATAGCTTACTTGATGAGGAAAATGCATGTGAAGCAAAATAAAAAACACAGAAAAGGGCACATTTCTGTTCATGTGCAAGTTTGAATGACATGTAACAGCTAATGAATAGACTGCTATGGCAATGGGTTGCATGTTTAGACCATTTGGATCAACTTATCTAGTGGTACTTTCACTTTGTGATGTAACCAAAGTCGTGTGGATGTGTAATTTTGTATATTGGTATGATCTGTCCTGTTAGCCTTTTAATTACAAACTCTAATAGAACAGCTTTGCTTGATTCACAGTTCAAAAAGTTATCTTATACTGGGCTTTGGTGCAGCCCCTCTCTTTATTTTCTATCCCTACTCACACCCATCAAAGCCAACTTTAGTTGTTTTTTTTTTTTATTTGAGGCTTTTTGCAAACAAAAGGTTCATGCCCACAGAGCTGTGTATTTGTGTCGTATTAAGGCTGTTCAACGACTTCATACAAGAGTAGAAATAACAGAGCTGTCTCAATCCTGACCTTTTGGCTCACAGGGCTCACAATGTTTCTTGTTTCATTCGGTGGTCTTTGTTGTTTCTGTTTTGCAAAATGTAAACTGAATACAGTGCATCCTGTGTATGAGTCACAGTTATAACACCTTTCCTCTGTAAGTGAGTCAACACTCAACATACGCCTCTTCAAACCCTGTGGTTCAAAGCGATGCGCCAACACTTCTGCTGAATCTGCATCTTGTTTTGGACAGAGACTCGCCTGGTAACTTCCCCCCCCCCATGATATCATCACAGAGCAATGTTTTCCGTGTTCTCTTTTATTTCTTTTATTTCTCTGCAAGTTAGCCTTTTTTTTTTGTTGTTGTTTTACCATCCAGCCCCACTAGATGCCACCATGGTGCTTTGGACAGCTGGGGACAAAGACTAATAAGAAGTGGTAGTTCCTGTCAGGAAATGAACAGTAACAGGTCGGATCTTACAGTTTTTGGAACACTGTACTGACCCGAATACCTTTAATAGATTAAATGAATCTGTTTCATCCACATGTTCAATGATTCGTCAGCTTATTTTAATCACAGTGCCCCTATTTCCTTTCTCTTTTGCATATCAGTATGCTCCTGCTTAAAATCCCCATGAGGCTGTGAGGGTTTATTTTAAGACCTCATCCCAGAATATTAATAGACTTCTTCATTGTCTATTTTTACTCCTGACTTTTGGCCACTTCACAATTGTCTCAGCAGTGTAGAGATGATAATAATAAATTATTCATGTTTTGTCTGATATTATGAGTTATTGCTCCTGTGTTATAATAAATAAAACAAAATAAAATAAATCACTTTATCATCCTTTTTATGTATATTTTTCATAAACTCTGACTGATACCTTTGACTTGACAAATAATGTGGCCTTCTAAACACACTAACTATAATCCTCATTAAGCTTTCATAACATGAAGCAGTTCAATCAGAAAATTACCTGTTCTGTAAGTTTTTTTCTTCTTTGACACTGTTACATATTCATTACACGCAGTCTGCAGACTGAAAATCCAAGAATCTGCGTGCATTAGTATTCTCAGTGACAGCCTTGTCCAAAGACAGAGGGTCAAAAAGCTTTTTAATCTGTTTTCAATCACTTCTTATTTTGTGGATGACCAGTGTTATCATTTTTTCTGCTATGGGGAGCGCAACTATTTAACAGTATCAGCTCTACCCTCACATGTATAATGCCAGAAGCTGTAAAAGCGTTCCCAAATGTGCATCATGGGAATAGCAAGACTCTTAATCTTAGGATGTCTGTGTCTGTTTGTCCCTCTGGGGAGAAGAATTATTCTAATTCTACACACTTTAGAAAACTGGAGAATTTAATGTAAATTATACAAGGAGAAGAGTTAACTAAATTACATCTGGTGTCCACAAAGGCTGTACTTAATACAGCAATTAGTGCTATTTTAATTGCATGTTCAATCATTCCAGTGGATGGTGTGTTGAATTGCATGGTGCCTGCGCTGTTCTTTCAGTAATTACAGGGTTATAGCCACAGAAGCTGACATGATGTTCAGGGCTTGGATGGTAAGATAAAATTGATTTGTACGTGGTGACTGTAGGAGGTGGGTTTGGATATAATGGTGTGAGATGGAGGGAGGAGTATATTGGGAAAGGAGAGAGAGGGAGAGAGCGAGTGAGACAGATGTGGGCGACTGGAGCAACTCTGAAAGAGGATTAAGCAGTCACTTATATTTCCTGGGATACTGCACCTGGGTACTGCCTTTCACAAATGATGGTAAGCTGCCAATTTTTTCCCTTTATCATCTCATTATTTTATTTCCCTGAACTAAATCAAATCCGAACGTGCATTTTTGTTCCTTCCCGAAGCGTCTGGCATTTGTAGGAGAACTGGGAAAGTCTCACATTTTTGATCACCCTAAATGTATATTGCAGCATTACCTTGTGAGATGATTTTAAATGGTCACATTGCTGGAAATTATAGATTTAGCCTGCATGATGGCCTTTAATGCAGAGGAGAACAATCATTTCAATTTTGAGGGTTACATTTTTTTTTTTATCACATCCAAGCATTGAATAAAACCAGTGTTTAATAATGAACTGAATGAAGACAACCTTAGCATTTATGAAGATGGGAGTTTAGCTTTTTAGAAGCATAATTGTAGCACCTTTTTAAATCAAGTTGCTGCTATTAATGTGTGCATTGATGGCTGTTAGGACTATTTCTTAAAATCTATTATCATTTACAGAGCTTGCTACAGTTATTTCATGAAGTGTGACAAAGTGATGTTTTCAAGCCTTGTGCCAGAATAATTGCAACAGGAGTCCATATAGGGAGGAGATTAAAGTGAGTGAATGGATCAACACAGCGCTAGACTAAACATTTCACACAGTATTGTTATTTAAAAAGTGTAACCTTAACAAAATGCCTCATTTAACCCAAACTAGCTTGAACTTAATTGGCTAAGGTTATTGTGTGGGTCATTGTTTAACAAAAGCAATTTGTCAATGCTCATGTTTGTTCATCTTATAATGTATTATTATATTTTGTTGCATTTAGGCTGTCACACCAGAAAACCTTCAGGTGGTCTCTGTTGTTTGAATTTGACTTCTTGTTTATTTATTTACTAATTTTAAATTATTCTTGTGATATGCCCCTTTTAATCAAGGCGCATCCGTACACTGGTTTTAAACTGTAGCTGGGAGAGGGAGTATTACACTTTTTTAAAATCTAGACAAGAATTAAAGGCTTTTACGAAAAGAATTGTAATATTGAACACCCTGCAAGCAAAACTGCTGTCTAATAATTTTGTTTCTCCACATTTTTGCCTTGAGGATTCCCATTTTGCCCCTGAAGATTAACTGAATTTTGGCAGCTGGACTTGAGCAAGATGGAGAACAACACAACCACCTTTCAGGATGTCAGTCGGGTTCTAAATCTGACAGAAATGCCTCTGAACCCTCTTGAAGAACAAGTCATAACGATATTTTTGACCATGCTCATTTGTGGAGTTGGGATTGCTGGGAATATCATGGTGGTGCTGGTTGTTCTGCGCACTAAACACATGGTGACCCCGACTAACTGTTACCTTGTCAGCTTGGCTGTCGCAGACCTCATTGTGCTCCTGGCTGCAGGCCTGCCTAATATCTCTGATGTTGTAGCCTTCTGGATATATGGCTACACGGGATGCTTGTGTATAACTTATCTTCAGTACCTGGGCATCAACGTGTCATCCTGCTCCATCACAGCGTTCACTATTGAACGATACATTGCTATTTGTCACTCCATAAAGGCACAGTTCATATGCACTGTTTCCCGAGCCAAGAGAATCATAGCTGGAGTGTGGATTTTTACCTCGCTCTACTGCACGATGTGGTTCTTTTTAGTGGACACAGATGAGACCGTCTATACCAACGGGGTGGTCGTCACCTGTGGCTACCGTGTCTCCAGAAGCCTCTACATGCCAATTTATTTCCTAGATTTCACTCTGTTTTACGTGATCCCTCTCATTGTGGCCACTGTGCTGTATGGGCTCATTGCCAGAATTTTGTTCATGAGCCCTCTGCCTTCGCATCTTAACGACCGAGCCGGAGGCGGGTCAGTTCACCAGGGGCACTCCAGTACCACCAACAAGGCCAACAAGGGTGCAGTCTCTGCAAGAAAACAGGTACTGCTAAGGTTATAAAGACAAGAAGCTTAGAGCAAAAAGGAAATAAAAGTAATAAAAGGGTTTTTTCTGAGTGGTTCTGAATAAAAATCCATAAACAGATTTAGGTTCAGTCCTAATAGGGTGCTTGTTTGGGTTTAAAGTGGCTTTGTGGATGGGTTTGACTATACCACAGCTAAATAACTCAACAGCCTGACAAGATAGTTCATAAACACGCTGAGTATTCCCAGAGGAGGAAACCAGTCTCTGCCATCCCCGCTAACCTGACCTTTGTAGTTTTGAGTGAACTAATAGAAAACTATTAGTGTTTGCATGACATTTGGATTGGTCACTCACATCCCCCTCGAGGTGGGCTGTAATTGTTTTGTTCTTCAATTATGTTTTCATCTAGCCTAAGGAAACAATTGATCAAAATTTTCATTTGTCCAAATTATTTGTTCATAGCCAAAAGGTACCAACAATTCCCGTCAGCTTTCACTGATGAGACTAATTAACAAATGTCTTCAGGGCTAACTAGCAAAAGTAAGCACTATGAATGTCTTCAAGGACTTAAACTGAGTGCTATGATCTTCATATCAACGTATTATTTATCATTTGGCTCTCTGTGATAGCAGACTTTCTCACTGTGGTTGACAGGGTCTTTTATTCTCACTGCAAGCATGTTTGCAAACTGACCTATCCTGTACTTATGTACAGCCTTAGAGCTATTTATGTGCGTCATGGATTCATATTGGGCATCCTCTACAACACTCACTTGACAGTAAACTCTGAGTCACGGCATGCAGTATGTCTGCTGAGATAATTCACATAATTGTATTCTTCCTCATTGTTATTCCTTATTTCCTTCCTCTGCTGTCTCAATAGATAACAAAGATGCTGGCTGTTGTGGTCATCCTGTTCGCTCTGCTCTGGATGCCTTACCGAACGCTAGTAGTGGTCAACTCCTTCATTGACCCGCCGTACCACAACACCTGGTTCCTGCTCTTCTGCCGGATGTGCATCTACACCAACAGTGCCATCAACCCCATCATTTATAACCTCATGTCGCAGAAGTTTCGTGTTGCTTTTAAAAAGCTCTGCAAGTGCCACTGGGGCCACAGGGAGGCCGAGTACAATGTGCCGATGTATTACAGTGTGATGAAGAATTCGACCCATGAGTGCAATGAACCGGTCACAGAGCAAGAAGAAGTCAGTTATCACATCACCCACAGGTCCAACATGACAGATGATGAAGCTCTCAGCATTTCTTCGTGAATTTTCCTGAAGAAATGAAGCGTTTCAGTGATTGTGCGTGTTTTATCGGTCCATTGTTACTGGCTGTGGGTGCATGATAAATTAATTATGACAATATTTAGGTTTTCTGTTATTTGCACCTGTTAAAAAACAACTACTGTGAAATCATTTTACGTGTGGTTTAATAGTTGTGGTACTTTGTGAAACAGTATTGTAACACCTATGTTGTAAATATCAGTAGAGTCTGTTAGTCCATGCGTTCATGATCTCAGTTACCTCGCCAAAGGAGGTTATGTGATTGATTCAGTTTGTTTGATTGCATGATTACTCAAAATGTTATAAATGGATTTGCATTTTACCAGAGGGGGGCAAGGCCCAAATTAGAAGTTATTAACTTTTGGAAATGCTCAAGATCCAGGACTTTTTGGAAGGATTCTTTATCGCAGCACTTTGGATCATATCTTCATAAATACATATCGAATTGAGTTAAGAAAAAAATGGGAGACACTGTCTTGATGTTATCAAGAAAATATCACAAAACATTTTGCATTCACATATCCTTCAGTGATTCGTTTTACGCATAACGTGGAGGAAATTTTTAGTCTTGGTGGAGCTATGAAGTCTCCAGCTGCTCTTGTTACAATGTGCGCTAAACAAAATGTATTCGTTCTTCCAAATGCTTTGTTTTAAGACACACTGGGGATTTTATGTAATGCATGCTTTGAGTGCGTAGCTTGCCTCAAGACATTGTCCAGCCTTTGTAACTAGTTGTGTCAAGAGCTCGTTCTCTACAGCTAAGCCTCTGCAACACATGGCTCTACAAATGTTAA